TGGGTCTCCCTCAGTCTGTAAGAGGCCCTGTGAAGGTATATTTTCTGCCTTTATTTCAGGATAAAGGGAATAAACCATGAGAGGACCCTTGAAATTCTTGCAATCCAGTGTTCAGTGATTATTTTCCAAGGCCCTTGTATGGAAATTGGAAATACCAGTCTCCCTCAGGGAAGTGAGAGTAGTCACTGGCTGGTTGGGGGGGCGGGCGGGGGGGGGGGTTAGTTAGGGCAATGAGTAATACTTGTGCATATGTGAATTGTGCTTTGAATTCTTTTGATGAAGAAGCTAACAGGTGTGAGAGAAAGAATCCATGACCTTATGCTTGCTTTCGACAATGAATAATAGATAATTCAATTCATTGCCATTAAGAAGTTAATATATTGGCCCTCCCTGGTGGCGCAGCAGGTTAAAGCGCAGCACTAAGAAGCTAAAGCCACTTCAGCATGAGTTCGATCCCTGCCTGCCCCAGAGGTGACCCACATGGCATTTCTGGACTATACCTCAGTTCTGTATGAACAAATAAAATAAATTTTTTTAAAGGAGTTAATATTTAAAACTATCATCAGGTAGATTGTGGGATAAGAAAAACTGACCTGTCTTTAGAGACTTAACAGAAAAAAACTATTTACAGATTACATCATATAAACCTGCAGGATAATCTGTAAGTGAGTCTGTATAGCCTAGTATGACTAGGCTATATAGACTAAATACGGATTTGTTGCAGAGGCTGTATGTGGAGTCCCTCATGTTGAAAAGATATTGTTGACAAAGTCAAAATATAAACATCAGATGGTGTGTGTATATATACACACCAATATACTATTCCCACAGTTTACAAAGTGCTACTGCCCACAGTAGGATGTTAAATTCATACTTGACATTTGTTCTCATGAAGAACTTCTGAAATGAACTGGGAATTATTCTGTGTGTTTTGTCCTGATGCAGTGGGTAGAGATGAAAAAAAAATTAAGTATCCTTCAAAGCCAATTATGCATGCCAGATAAAGTGGCCTTTTAAATAGTATGATTCTTAAACTTTTTCAGTTCTTGTTGTTTGATGAGTGAGGATAAGAAAAGGCAGAATAATTGCCTAAAGGTTTAAATAACTTCTCTGGAAAAAAATTTCAGCCATATTTATAGAGACCAGTGAAGGAGAAAACAGTTTTGTAGGATTAATACCTTTGTATTTGTTGACACACTTATTAAAGTTATTAGATGTTTTATTGGTGATATAGTCATACTACAGTAAGAGGAGCAAAGAGCATTTTATGTAAGGTCTCAACATTAGATTTTGTTTTATTAAATGGTGTTGAAACAGTAAACTTGTATTTTTTAAGTAGGTCAAGAATTATTTACCCATTTTATGAAAGATGACTGATTCATGAAGCCACCTAGTAGTAGAAAAGTCTGCTTTCATTCATTCAGAGATAATTGTGAAGTCTTTTACTTTTTTTTGTATGACCTTAGGAAACAATCATTTTATATAATTTGGGAATAGTTTTTATCCGTCATTCATTAGTAGACTGTTCATATTTAAACCCTGAGAATATGGTGTACGTCTGTTTAGACAGGAGAAGAACATGAAATTTGTTAAACATTTGTTAAAATAGTTTTTATGTCTCCATGATAGAATTACGAAATTGAATGTTTTGATCCTGTTATAGTCAATATACTTTCTTTTGGCCAAATCTAATGTTAGAATACCGCAATACTTTTAATTGCTTTTATCTTTCTATTTAATGGTACAGATCTCTTTAATGAAGCCTACACTTTGAATTTGCTATATTTACATAATGACACCAAAATGTGAACATTAATTCTTGAATAAAATTAACCTGTAAGGCCAATCAGTCATTTGGAAAACAACACCAACTTTAAAAATGAGTTGCCATTAATGAAGTAATATTCAGAAATTGAAAATTAGTTTTAATGGACAAAATTTGAGTATCCTCAAAGCCAGTGTGAGGCACTTTTAGACTGTGGGCAACAAGTTAAATATCTTGAACTCTGGGTGTGAAGGTGATGTCCAGTTTGAACTGGACAGTCGGATGCTGGCCTTGCGCCCTCATGTTGCCTGTTCATTTCTAGTTCTGTCACCTGAGCCCTGGCACCTCACTTCTGAGGGGCTTTTTGTGTGAAATGCGGAAAAAGTTTTTCTTGTTCACTTTTGACAGGTTAAAATAATGCATATTTGAAAACGTTTATAAAGGCCAAGTGAAAAGGATTGAATATACATTCTTTGAAGGTTTCCTTCACAAGAGAAGGGGCATACAGAAGGTAGAGAATGTGGGTCTTGAAGTGTGTTTGTGTGTGTGTTAGCTGCACACATACTCTAGGGGACAAGTGCTATATTTGTTAGTGCTTTGGAGGACAATCAGGAGTACTGGCTTCTGCTCTGAGATGTTAATTTCTTTATCAGTATTGGCCTTTAGAAGAGTGTACTGAGAGTGAATTAAGGACTATAAAGTACTTTATAAACTAGGGAGCACCTTATTCATAAGACTTACAGAGAGAGGGCAAGGAAAGAAGAGAGGTAGCCTCCATTTTCTTGCCTTTTCTATACTTTATTTTACTAAATTTAGTAAAACTGAAACATATGGCAAACTCCAACCAGGTGACTGAGGAGTTTCGTAAAGGGACCCTTTATAATAATGTGGGTAGGGTATAGGTAAGGCCAGTAAAGCTATTGCTGACCAGTGAGGGCCAGTGCAGTAACCAGGAACCCCTAGCTAGTAAGGAGTTCCAGACATCCGGCGCCAGAAAGGGTGCCTGTATGGAGAAGACCACCCTGCAGGAGCTATGCCTTTCTGAACAGGACTGCACTTGAGGAGGGAGCTGGTGGGGAATAAATACCCCTTTCTCACTCTCCTGCTCATTGGGCTTTTCCTGAAAAAGACCTAGTACCGGAGAGATATTGATAGGAAATCCCATTGCTGGTCAGCTTTCTGGGGCAGCAAGCAAGATAAGGAAATGAAGAGAGAGGATCCTTGGATATGTCTGTGGCAACAGGAAAGTTTCCTACTTTAGACTTGATTTTTGGATTCTCTCTCTCGTTTTAAACTTCTCATTTCCCCTTATTCATTCATCATTCTTACAATCTGCCTCTGTTTGAATTCTTCCTCAGAAAAATGCCTATGGGCTTAATGGCTAGATCCAGAGAACAACCAAATATAACATAACTTACATGAAGCTCAAGCTGGTGTTGTGTGTGTTTTGTTACTTTTTCTTTCTCTTTTTTAATGCTGCGTTTTGAAGGGGAGGGTCAGTGTACCAAAGCTTCTCTGATATCAAAGAGAAAGAAGCCTTATTGCCTTTATTAAACTCACACGGTTTCTTTTTGTTTTTATTGTGGAAAAAACTCGGAGATTCTCATTTGATGATTATGTCCACAGTTGTAACCTTAAGAGCAAGCTGTTGGTCCTGGAGTAGGGATAATCAACAAAGAATGGAATTTTTCTCTGTGTACTCCAAATTGCTTAGGAGAGTAAATATGTTACTGTTTTTCTATCAATTGTTAGTTTATAGAAGAACAATTTTATAGCTTTATTTTTTATAAGAAGTGGTACTTTTGTGCTTTTTCCAATAAGGTTGAGATTTTACAATACTCATTGTAAACTATTTCATTTAACCTTGTTAAAATGGGTCAATAAATATTTACATTGTAGTGCTAATTTTGTATTTCAAGGCTATCTAAGTAATTTCATTAAAAATGAAATAAAAATTATCTAGGCAACAGCAACTACAGTCCTGTAGGGCTGGAAATCATCTCTCACTGTAACTGAGTGTTCTGTGTTTGCCAGGACATCTGCAGTCACTTAAGAGTGCTTCTATGAAATCTGTAATACTTATTTGAATTTTTTGGTGATTGTTTATAAAGATAGTAATGAAATCCAACCACCGGAAAAATAAAATGAAATTAGTACAGATGTTGTATTTCTAGTTTCTAGCTCTTTTCTGCCTTAGAAAAAAAATGTCTTGGCAGTAGGGAATGGCAGTAAGGACAATGGCGATGAAGCATTCTGTGTTATTATTACATTCATTCTTATTTATTGTCAAAGTAAGTACTGTGTTGCTAGTGAGAGACAAAAAAAAAATGAAGTGACATAGGGAAAAGCACTTCCATTTAGGAAAATGGATTTCTTAGATTCATAGCTTTAGATTTGTGTTAGAAGCAATGCTGTCATTCAGTGGACTAGCTCATCTTTCCTTCTTTCTGTGGGTACTAGTGACTGCTAGGAATTACCTTCAGGCTTATGGTAAAGGAAAAGAAATAATTGAAGAAAGGAAAAGTGAGATATCACAGACCAAAAAAAAAAATGTATAGGCAGTGAATTATTGTATTTGTCAAGAATGGGCAGATGGAAGGGGACCCACTGTGGTTTTTCTGCATTCTGTAGTTCCTAGAATAACTCAGCCAACCCAACTCCCTAGATGTAAGTACAGTGGATTCTTGCCATCCAAGAAAATTCAGATTCTATCGATAGTATTTATCCCTTATACCTCATTTTTAAAATGATAGAACATTGTTTACAAAATTTTAGTCATTTTTCTCTTATCCTCGCATTTGTTGTATAGTATATTATAATTTCCACATCTAAACCCTGGCTAAACAACCTTGCCTCCTAGAAGTGTTTCATTTATTTTCCAGGGAAGAACTCTTTATCAGGTGTTTACTCTGTTAAGAGATGCTGTTTTCATTGTGTTTCTTACAAGATACATGGTTACACAGCACTATCAAAATTTCATGCTGAGTTTTTTCCAAGGATGTGACAAATTTTTTCAGCTCTGTGACTAAAATGAACTTTCATTTTAGTGTTCACTATAGTTCGTGTTGCCACCTCGTGGATGCTGTCTTTGTGGGACTGTCTCTTTGGGAGACAGCTGTCTCAGCTGTCTCTTTGGGACTGTCAAGTCCAAGCCACCATTTGTAGCTTAATTGTCTGTGAGAACGAAGAAGGTGTCATAGTCTGATGTATTTATGTTTTCCCTCTTTCAGGGACAGGAGAGAGTGGCAAGAGTACATTTATCAAACAGATGAGAATCATTCACGGTTCAGGATACTCTGATGAAGACAAAAGGGGCTTCACCAAGTTGGTCTATCAGAACATCTTCACAGCCATGCAGGCTATGATCAGAGCCATGGATACACTCAAGATCCCATACAAGTACGAGCACAATAAGGTAAGTGGGGCTCCTCATGGGAACCCCCTGAGGGTTCAGGCAAAGTCACCCAGTACAGATATCTTCCTGTGTTTGTCATGCACAGTGGGCCTTTGAAATGTATGTTTCTCATCTCATCCAAAATGAATTTTTAGTTGTCTAAATTATTTATAGATTTTTTCCCCTTAAATCTTTAAAATGAAATCTATAAAAAAAAATGGGTTGTGTTCTTAGCAATATCAATGAAAGACATTTTTGTATTGAATATGTTTAACAGTAAGTATACAGATTTTAAAATTTAGGTATACTGATTCTATCAGTTTGTAAGTTTAAGATAAATTGACCAAAGTGAGGAAATTCAGAGAAGTGGCAGTGGCCTTGATCAACCTCCCACTCTCTGTGCTTCTTTGTGAGAAAAGAACAAAAACAGCTCAAGACCATTCTGTCCAGTTTAATTTTGAATTTCGTGACTTCCTTTCAGTAGTATCACAGACTTACTTTTATTTCAAAATAGTTCCATCTGTCATTTCCAATAACCTTTCAAACATGTTTGCCTGCAATTGTGCTAAACTAATAGAAACTTCTAAAATCATTTGAAAAGGATTAGAAAAAAACCTGTATTTGCAGGTTTTTTTTTTTAGAAAAAAACAGAGTTACCCAGTATCAATAATATAATCTCTTAGTTGAAATAGAACACCTAATGAAAAACAAATGCTCTAATTATTCACCTCTGAATAGTACATCACTAGGTGCACATTATCAAATAATATTGGTGTATCTGAGATGACTGCATTCTTGAGTTTCTGCTGCATTTGCCCTGTAGGAAGTTCATGGGCAAGGACTGGATTGCACCAGGGAGTAATGTAGTAAAGTCATTGTTGAGGTGCCCATCTGAGAGAAGGGGAATTATTTGGAATTTGGTACAAATTTATAGTTTGCATTCTTGTCTTCTCATTCATAGTCTGCACAACTACTGATAGATGCAGTGTTGTTGTTGTTGTTTTTTCAGTAGCTGCTGATGTTAGAATGACTAGTAATACCATACCTTTTGCTGATGTTAGAGTGACTGGTAATACCATACCATAAACACTGTTTTGGGGCTTCCTCACGGAACAGGGGTTAAAAACGCAGCCCTATCAAGCTATCTCCAGGCACAGCAACAGGAGTTTGATCCCAGCCAGGTAGATAACCCACTAGGTGCAGCAGATCTGTCCTTCGCTGCTCCCCTCAGCAGTGTATTTCTGTAGATCTGCCTGTTCTGGCCCTTACACTACCTCTGCTGAATCCTCTCACCTCCTACATCTTTGGTCTGTGCCCCAGTTCTTGTATGCATAAATAAATAAACCTTTAAAAAATGTATTTGCACCTACAACTATTTTAAGACCCTTAATCAGAACTTTCATTCTCTCAGTTCTCTTGCTAATCTGCTCAGGGATATTTCTATACCAGGATCAATAGGTAATAACAAGAAACTGGTATGTCCAGTATGACTCATAAACTGAGATTTAACTCACAAAAATTAATCTTTACTAAAATATAGCAGTTCTGTATACCTCCATTTCTGTTGCCATCTAAAAGCTTCTAAATATAGTAATAATTCTTAAATTAGGCACTTTTCCCCCTTGAAATTAACTAACTGTTATCTAATTGGCACTCTCACACTTAGATTTTCTATAGCAGCATCTCTCTGCAAAGAAAGGAATCTCTACAAATAATCCTTCTACTCTAAAGAGTAGGCAGGTTTTTGAGCTTGAAATATAGTTACTTGACTCTGATTAGGTTGCTTAGATGTCAAAGCAGTCTGAATTTATAGGGATCAGGTTCCCGTCACATAAGGAATTTCAGTGTACCGAATTTCTGAAGTAAGTGGCATGCTGGTTTTGTTGCAGTTGTGAGACTAATGAAGTTGAAGGAGTTTTTTTTTTAATGCCAGTGGCTTTCCCATTCTTCAGTTTGTTGATAATACAATGATTTGGTGAATCTGGTTTACTTACTATCAATGTGGTGAAGAATCCTTCAGGATCTTCCCTTGAGGTTAGAGTTTTGTAAGTTTTTATCGTACAGTCACGTAGATAGAGAAGATGGAAAGGAGTTTTTAACCTTATTCATATAACAAATCGAAGTATATTTAACAGTGTATGTACTGGAGTTCTTTGTATCCAGTCTTGTTAAGCAGACTTAATTATAATAATGTCATTCAGTTAAAATCCAGCATCATAAAAAGTTACTGTTTCATACAGTATCATAATCCTGTAATCTTGCATCCCTTGGTTATTTAATATACTACCTAATATAGGGATGTGTCTGTCTTGCTAATTTCCCTCTAATTCATAAAATAAATAATTTCCCCAATAAAAATTCTCATTCTTTCCTATATACCTAAAGTGTTACCTCTTTATTCATTAACTTCTGAGTTTGGCCCATTCTTTGCCCTTGTTAATGCTATCAGGGAAATAATGTCATCTTCATCTTTGACCCAACTGCTGCTTTGTCCTGCAGTTCCTCTCTTTCCCTACTATAGTACTAAGTAATCCCACTCTCCCTTAGCAAAACCCATAGTTGAGTATCTGTAATTCTGTAGCTTGAGTTAATTATAATGATTTGAGTATACATTTTATTTTCCTGACAAGATTCTTAAAGCCTTGAATATTAATTCTGTGTTAATTCATCATTCTTCGTGGCACTGTATTTGGTTCTTAGTAAGAGCTTAAAAATAATCTTGATTTATGAGTATATAAAATCATTTATAAGCTAAAACAACCTGTCCCCAGGTTGTTGAAATAATTCACATCAACAAGGTAGCTGTTTTTGTTTGTTTGTTTTGTTTTTTTGTTTTTTTTTTAAAGATTTATTTATTTGTGCATACAGAACTGGGGTACAGGCCAGAGGCTCAGGGGCGGTGGGAGGCTTCATCAGAGACAGAGTGGGGAACAGAACAGGCAGATCGACGAAGTACACTGCTGAGGGGAGCAGTGGGCGGGTCAGGAGAGGTCTGCCACACCATGTGGTCACCTCCGGGGCAGGCGGGAATCGAACTCATGCGGAAGCAGCTTTAGATTCTCAGTGCTGTGCTTTAACCCGCTGCGCCACCAGGGAGGGCCTGTTTTTTGTTTTTTAATCCTCTTGAAATGCATTGTGCTGTCAGGGATGTGAGATGTTTAATCAAGGCTAGGCAATAATTTACAGAATGAGGCACACAGGCATAGCTGAGGCAAGAACACTTAGAAGTGTGACTGGAGTAAATGTTCAGAAGAAGAAAATGGCATGGAATGTGTAACTTGAGCATCTTATAGATGTATATTGGAAGAACACCACCCCCCACCCCACCCCCCAAAAAAGGATTTAGAATGAGTTTGTTAAAGGTTTTGAATACAGGCTAAGAAGCTTGAAGTTTACTTTTTTTGTTTATGATACCTATTTAGTAAAAATATTTAATGTTTTGGAAAAAGTTAGCTACAGAAGTTTTTGGTTATAGCATTCTATTTTATAAATAGTTTTAACTGCTTTATTAGAAACTATTTGAAAGTAGTACATTCTGATTTATTTTGTTACATTAAAGATATAAAATAAGTGTTCAGTATTTTAAAAAGCTTTACACTTACTGTCATGGCAACCTAAATCTGTGGTAATAATAGCATAAC